TCCACACTGTCCCCTCCATCTCCACACTGTCCCCTCCATCTCCACACTGTCCCCTCTATCCCCACATTGTCCCCTCCATCCCCACGCTGTCCCTCCATCCCCACGCTGTCCCCTCCATCTCCACGCTGTCCCTACACTGTCCCCCCATCCCCGCCCTGTCCCACCAAGCTCCCACCACCCGTGCCCCGTCCCCCCATCCCCGCACCGTCTCCCCCCTCTCGCCGCCCGCCCGGCCCCGCCCCGCGGGGGCTGATGTAACCGCGGTCCCCCCCGCCCGGCGGCCGGTCCCGCCCGGCGCACACTCCGCGGGCTGTGTGCGAGCGGAGCGCACCCAGCCATGTGCCCGTGCGCGCTGCGCGGCCCCCCCGCGCCCTGCAGCCCCTGCGGGCCCGGCCGCGCCGCCCGGCCCGAGGCCGCCGCCCGCCGGGTCGCCGCCCGCCTGCGCCGCCTGGGCGATGAGCTGGAGCAGCGGCGCAAGGCGCGGGGCCGCGGGCCCTCGGCCGCCCGCCGCCTGGCCGCCGTGGCGGGGCTGCTCTGCGCGCTCACGCCCGCGGCCGCGCTGGCCTGGCTGATCCGCAGGAGGAGCCTCTAGGGAGAGCGGCGCCGCACGGAGCGGGGAGCAGGCGGGACGCGCAACAGGTGGGGAGGGGATGGCGTGGGACGGGAATGGGATGGGGACGGCGCGAGGCTCCGCACGGGGCAGGGGCTTGGTCCGGCCGGAGGGATCCGGCCCCGGGGCTCGGCTTGGCGGAGCGCGCTGTCCGCGGTACCCGCCGGGCTGCGGACGGTGATGCGGGAGTGCAGGGAGACACGGGCAGTACAGGCGCTGCCGACTCGCACCGACCCCGGCCCCTCTACTTCTTCTCCCTCTCCCGGGGCTGCCGGTACCGGCGCTGCCAGGTCGCGCTGACCCCGACCCCTTTCCCTCTCCCTTTACATCTCCTCCCTCTCTCTGGGCTGGCGGTACCGGCGCTGCCAGGTCGCGCTGACCCCGACCCCTTTCCCTCTCCCTCTCTCCTTCCCTCTCTCTCTCGCTTTCCTTCTCCCTTCCTGTCTCTGGACTGCCCGTACCGGCGCTACCAGGTCGCACTGACCGCGACCCCTCTCCATCTCCCTCGTCTTCTCCCTCTCCTTGGGCTGCCGGTACCGGTGTTGCTAGGTCGCACTGACCTCTCTCCTCTCTCCCTTTCCTCCTTCCCTCTCTCCTCTCCATCTCCTTTTGCCTCTCCCTCTCCCCTTTCCCAGGACACCCCAAACGCCCTCTTTCCCTGTCCCCAAACTTTCACGGTTCCCCCCCGGTGCCTCCCCTCTGCCCGGGGCTGTCCTTGCCCCCGTGGGGCAGTTCCAGCTCCCTGCCGGCAGCTCAGAGAGGTCGGAGCAGGTCCCACATCGCCCTGACTGCCGGCCCCGGGAGCTGAGGGTGCCCTGCACACCCGTTCCTGCCGAGCCTCCAGCCCTCTCTTGTCTGGGAAGGGGCTTTCCCTGTGTCCTGCCATTCCCTGGTGGGCTCTAGACCCACGGGTACTGTGGGGCACCCATTGCTGAGTGGTGGGATATCCCCACAGGACCATCCAGCGGGGCAGCCCGGGACACTGGCTGGCTGTGCCTGGCTCTGTGTGTTGGATAATGCCTTACTGAGCATACATGGGGTCACCTCAGGGATTTTGGATGCTCTGAATTTTGGTTGTGGATTTGTCCCCACAGACCTGAGGAGCAAGGGCTCTTGTCTTGGCTGCTTTAAATTGCATCATAAACGTCCCCAATGTCTGTGTTCAGGGAAGACTTAAAGTGCATGTGTAACTTTCAGCATGCACTCATATCCCACCAGCTTGGATAGGGGGGTGTGGAGGGAATGTAGGGATAGCAGAGAGTTTAAAAATAAGGTTTTCCAACAGGTCTGTGTTTGCACTGTGTGTGTGCGCACTGGTTTGGGGGGGATCGTTGTTGTCATCCCTCTGAGCCACAGCTGCTGTGTCCGTCAGGAGGTTCCACTGATCACCTTTGGAAAGGTTTTTTATGAAACAAAACCAGAACAAAACTGGGTGGGTTGTTTTTGATGAATCAAAGCCTCAGTTTCTCTAAAATCAGGCTCTGGATAGTGCCCGCAGAGCTGTGCCCAGCAATGCCCTCAGGGGTGGTGTCAGTGGTGTGGGGCTGTGCTCAGGAGCAGAGCGAGCACACCTCTCCCTTCCCATCAGTTTGTGGCACATTTGGTTGTAGTGTTTGGAAACAAACCCACCCATCTGGCTTGCTGGCCTCTCCGACCTTGGAAAAAAAGTTGGAATCCAAGGGGGAAGTGCAGTGATCTCCCTTACTCAGTGTCTCAAGTGCTCTTTTCCTTCTCACAAGCTGGGGAATTTCCTCCCTGCCCAGTCTGGGACTTAGTCCCAGGAGGAGGTGGCAGGTGAGCAGGGCTGGCAGAAGGAGCCCGTGGATCCATGCACACAGTCAGCCCAGAGTCCCTGACAATCCCATGAGGCCGAAGCTGTTTGGATTCCTGTTTTTTTGTGAAGGTTCCCTGTTGAACAGTATTCTTTTCCCCAGTCTCCTGCTGTTGACTCTGAAGCCCTCACCTCCATTTCTGCACTTCAGGCCCACCAATAACCAGTTGCTCATAAAAGGCTTTGATGAGGACACTGTGGAAAAGCCAGGCATTATCCCAGTGCCTCCAAGGCTGCTCCGGCACGCGCCGTCCTGGTCCTGCCTCGCAGCTTCCAAGGCTGCTGCACACAGGACGTGCTGAGCTGCCTCCAAACGCCTCCAAATGCTCGGGGGGCTTCGTGGCCACAAATACAAATGTGAGTCTGAAAAGAAGATCCCGGTGTGTGATGGGAAGCAGTTTGAGGAATAAAGATGTGAGGATTAACAGTCTCCTGACAGTCTCCTGGTTGCCCCTGTGTGCAGCCTGTCTGCTGTCACACTTCTGTAAGTGACCAAGCTGCAGGTGAAAATACAGCCCAACCCCAGAATGATTAACTGCATCATCTACACCTCAGTTTCTGGGGTTATTTTTGCCATTAGGAATCTTTTCATGCTGTAATTTGCTCCCACCAGTGGAGGTTTCTGACTGTCTCAGAGCCTGAGTGATAGTGCAGAGAGCTGTTAGGCTTAGAGATGAGGTAAGACAACAGTCTTTCATTAACTGTGCAGAGTATTTCTGAACAAAATATGTATTTTTCTGCCACCCTCAGAGAACTCTGCAGTGACAATAACATTGTTCTGCAACAAGCTGGGAAGTCCAGGCTCTGAGCATGGGATTTCTTGCAATGGCTGGTAAGAAGAGAGTAACTCATACAGTTAATGAGGATGCTGCAGAGTCAGCATTTGTCTCGTGATCTGGTGGTTGCAGAAGGAATAGAGAAGTCAAAGGCCATTGTCAGCTGGGTTTACTACCAGAGCTCCCCTCCTGCTTTTCCAAGCAGTAGTAGGATTTGTGTTGGCTGCTGTGAGCACTACGAACTGTTTCTGAGGCAGGAGGTTGGTGGTTGTTCCCTCAGGTCCGTGTGGCTTCCCACAACAGCACAGCTCAGGGAATAATCCTGTGCTCCAGGGAACCTGTCCTGCTCTCACAGCCCCCGGGGGATGCCAGGGAGAGCAGGATTAGGGCCGCTGCACGTGACCAACTGGCATCTGTGGACCGAGCCTGGGGTTTGGGGCTGAATCCTTCACAACTGGCAGTTTTAGAGTATATAATCTGACATCACCTTGAATCTCCAACCAGGACATGAAGTGCAGTTGTCAGGTGCCAGTTTGGCACACGGGGGCACTTGTATTTCGCTCTGTTAGTTCAGGAGTGGCAGTGTATTAAAATCCAACCCTGCTCGTCCCTGCCAGCTCCACCAGCCTGGTTCCGTGCCCGCCGTGTTGCCAGGAGTTCCCCCCACTGTTTGCTGCGGGGTTCATGCAGAGCCACTCTGTCCAAAGTCTCAGTGCAGTTAATTATCTGTGTTAAAGCCGGGCTGGGAAGATTTCTGGAGGTGCCACACTGAGCGGTGCAGGGGCACAGAGCAAACCGAGGACCGGAGGCAGTGCAGTTCTGCGGGAGGACAAACATCCAGCGTGTGTTTCTCTGGCACAAAGAGCGAGGCACTGCTGTTTGTCCTGCTGGATAACCGAGGAAGAAGGAGCTCTTCCCAGTGGCAAGAGTCCTGCTCCAAGGTGCCAGCAGTCCCTGCCACCCTCACTCCGACTTCACGGTCAAATTGCTCAAGGAAAACCTTCTCACGACAAACAGGCAGCAGAGTTTTCACAGACAAACAGCAGCCCAGAAAAGGCTCATTCCACAGGTGGACTTCCTTTGTGGAAAGATTGGAGCCCCGATGTATTTCTTTACTGCCTGGGTTCCCTGCTCTTCCTGTGCAAAGATCTCCCGAGCAGTTCTCCTCTTCCTCCCTCTCTTGAACCCCCTCCTAATTGTTTTGCGGTGTTCCAAGTGCCCGTTCCGTCTCCCGCGGAGCTGCTAATGAAGTGTGAGTGTTCGCGGAGAGCGGCTGCTTGGGAATTTGCCGGGGCTCCTGCCCAGCCCTTGTTTTCTCATTAACCTGCTGCTGGGTGAGCAGAGGGAGCGAGGGCGCCTCGTCCCGTCCCTGCCTTCCAGCTCGCCCGCAGCACCGCGAGCCCTCCAATCTATTTTTCCCTTTAAACGTATCAATAACTGTTATTTTGTTTATTAGGGGTGGGACGCGTGCCAAGGGAGCGGCCCGTGTAATCCGTTTAAATCGAGCGGTTCCACGCTGACACAGTAGCCGGGAGCACAACTCCTTTTCCCGAGCTGCTCCAGGGGCTGTGAGCTCAGACCCTCCTACGGCTTAAGCGCGGCTTTGCCTCCTCTCCCTGACTAAAGATTAGCCAAAGAAGTGCTGAGATGGGACCCCCCACCTGAGTCGTTTCGTGCCCGTCCCCACTCCGCATCCCCCGAGAAGAGCAGCCTGACTTTTCTTCTCGTGAACAGCAGTTTAGCGAGTTGTGGGATGGAACGGTGGGATTTAAGGCTGGAGAATTCCGAGGAATTGAGTAAATCGTCTGTTAAAGCAGCGGGATGTGGCGGGCTTGCCTGAGGTGCTTTTGATTTGTCCTCCCACAACCTTACTGCTTAATAGGTGCAATGGCTGAGAGCAGCTTTCTGAGAGGTCTCCCTAAATGTCCAGGCAGAAAGAAATACTTCACCAAAGGGAATGTTGCTTCCCATGAAAAAATTTCAGAGGAAGTGATTTTTTTTCTTATCACTTCAATCCATGTTTTCAACAGACAGAGCAGTTTTCACATAGGAACTCAGCTGTAATTCCTGTTATTTTATAAGTAAATGAGAAGTGTTGATATTTGTGGACAGTCCCCCCCCCCTCAAAGTTTCAACATTTTAAAGAATGACACATAAAGTAATCAATTTTTCAGCAGCTCTACAGAAGGGACGTGCTGGCTCCCTTTCCAGCTTACTATCCACCCTGGAATTACAAATGGGATGTAGTTTGGCTTTCCCCAGCCTGTTTCAGACCCAAAGCACCGAGCTTTGCTCTGTCTGCTGAGTGCCTATTGTGGGAAATTTGGAGTAACTCCACTGAAGTCAATTGGGTTGCCCTGGATTTACGGTGCTGTAAATGAGATCAGAATTTGGCTCCAAGTATATTCCATTAATGAGTCAGATACTGGCAGTGCAGCCAATATGCACCCAGAAATGGCTTTAACACAGCCCAGGATATTCAAAATTGGTTTATTGAGAGATGGGCTGAAGGCCAGGATTCTGGGGTCCTCTTTTATTCTTTCCATGAAAATTCACCTTCGTGCAAAGGCCGGGCACGGGGCTGATGCAAAACTTTAAAGAGCCATTTAAGCTCTTAGAAAGGGGCTTGGGAGGTGCATAAACATTGTGCCGAGCTCTCTGCCTGCCCCGGGGCAGATTTATCGGCCGGGAGTTCAAGATGTTCTCGGATTTATCAACTTCTACAGGTTTTTATGGATTTTCTGTGCGTTAAGTGACACGGGCAGGCAGTGGGTGAAATATGGTGACACCACGGATGATCTGTTGCCGGCCACGGGTGGCACAGCGGGACAAGGGTTCATGGATGGCAATTGGAAGTGCTGCTACAGGAGAAATAATAAATCAGGGTTAGATGGTTTTGCTTCAGAGGAAACCCTTCAATCAACTCCTGAACTCTTTATTGCAGTGGGACTGGAGTGAATCCCTCCCCTCAGGGGGCAGGAACGGCAGCGGGGGCTCCTCCTCCCAGCTCGGGTCGTGCCCTGCTCTCCCACCCCGAGGGGGGGGGGAATTTTGGCATTTTGTGTGCAGAGTGCAGGTGCCCAAATCCCCTGCTGGGGGTGTTTGGCAGGCCTGGAGAGATCCGTGGTGCTGAGTGTGTGTCCGGAGCGTGTGGCTGTGCCAGTGGAGGTGAGATCCCCGCAGCAGGGAGGGCTGTGTCCCGGGAATGCAGGCAGGGACACAGCCCTCTGGGACACCAGAGGAACACCTCTGGGCTGGTTCTGACAGCTCTTTACCAGCTCTCTGCCCAGCTGGATGGCTTTGTGTAGCCGGGGTTAGCATGGTTGTGCTTTCTCACACAGCAAACACTTCCCTTCCCTTCCCTTCCCTTCCCTTCCCTTCCCTTCCC